GACCTGAAAGTAAGTCATTAAACCATAAAACTCTTAGAAGAAAACATAGACAAAAATCTCCTGAATATAAACGTGAGCAACTTCTTCCTGAACGGATCTCTTCGAGCGAGGGAAACAAGAGAAAAAATGAACTCACGGACTACATCAAACTAAAAACCTTTTGTACGGCAAAGGACACCATCAACAGAACAAAAAGGCATCCTACAGTATGGGAGAATATACTTGTAAACGACATATCTGTTAAGGGGTTAACATCCAAAATACATGAAGAACTCACACATCTCAACACCCAAAAAGCAAATAATCTGATTACAAAATGGTCGGAGGATATGAAGAGACAATTCTCCAATGAAGAAATTCAGATGGTCAACAGGCACATGAAAAGATGTTCCACATCACTGATTATGAGGGAAATGGAAATTATAACCACAATGAGATATCACCTCACACCAGTTAGAATGGTCAGCATTGAAAAGACTAAGAACAACAAATGCTGGCGAGGATATGGAGAAAAGGGCACCCTCCTACACTGCTGGTGGGAATGTAAACTAGTTCAACCATTGTGGAAAGCAATATGGAGGTTCCTCAAAAAAACTAAGAACAGAAATATTATTCGACCCATGAATCCCACACCTAGAAACTTACCCAAAGAATACAAGTTCTCAGATTCAAAAAGACATAGGCATCCCTATGTTTATCGCAGCACTATTTAATAGCTAATATATGGAAGCGACCTAAGTGTCCATCAGTAGATGAATCAATAAAGAAGATGCGGTACATATATACGATGGAATACTATTCAGCCATAAGAAACAAACAAATCCTACGATTTGCAGCAACATGGATGGAGCTGGAGGATATTATGCTCAGTGAAATAAGCCAGGCAGAGAAAGACAAGCACCAAATGATTTCACCCCTTTGTGGAGTATAACAACAAAGCAAAACTGAAGGAACGAAACAGCAGCAGATTCACAGACCCCAAGAAGGGACTAGCAGTTACCAAAGGGAAGGGCTGTGGGAGGGCAGGAGATGGGGATTGAGGGGTATTATGTTTAGCACACACGGTGTGGGTGGTCACAGGGAAGACAGTGTAGCACAGAGAAGGCAAACAGAGAATCTGTGGCATCTTACTACACTGCTGGACAGTGACTGCAATGGGGTATGGGGGTACTTGATAATATGGGTGAATGTCATAACCACGTTATTTTTCATGTGAAACATTTATAAGAATGTTTATCAATAATACCTTAATAAAAAAATATATATATATAAATAAAATTTAATTAAAAAAAAGAATGCACCAAACAGCAATAATTACAGGGAGCAGAAACGTAATTTTACTTTGCCACTCTTTAAGTGTTACTGTTGCAGCAAACAAGTATTTTGTTGTCATTTAGGAGAAAAACGTTTTCATTGAGGGAACCAAATTTCTAAAGTGTAGTCCACCAGTTCTGCATACAAGTTGTATTTTGGTTCTGAAGCATATTTTAGTTCTTACAAGTTGCTTCTTACAGTTTAAGAACTGTAAGAAACTAATAACCTCTGCAAAATGACATGAGGGGGAGCAGTATAAGCAATCTTAAGATTTTTATTAACAAATCGTACTTCATTTTCTGTGAATCCCAAAGACCCAAGTCATCCCGCTGCTCTACTTAGATCTAAACAACAGGGGCATTCACCTCATAGAGGGACTACTTGTCTTGCCAAAAGTATCCGATGTTAATGTGCCCGATGTTAGTTACCCAGAAATGATACATACTATCAGCTTTTGCTTTCTCAAGAGGAGTTAATAAGTAATTTCATCTCTTCAAATTCCTAATACATTGTTTCATTAGAAACTACAACCATGAAAAACACAAAATAAACAATTCAGACACAGAATTATTTTCATAAATTACTCATTTCTACCCCATAAACTGTTCATTCTGGAAAGAATGGCCCAATTCTCCCATAATATATGGCAACATTTTTAGACCCAAGAAGCTTTAAGATTGTACCTTTTCTACTGCAACAACCCAACTAAATATAATCTAAAAATACTCATAATTTAACATTCCAAAGTTTATCTCAAAGCTGCCCACACTTTTCTCCCATGCTACCTATCACAGTAGTGAACAGCAACTTCAACCCCTACATGGACTGAATATTGCAATAGCCTATGCATCACCCTGCTTTTCTTGTCCTTCTCAAATAATTCCATTCTCCACCAAAAAAAAAAATCCCATTTTTAAAATACAAGCTATATCACCTGTCACCGCAGCTAGATAAAAACCCTCCACAACTACAAATCCTTGCCTCACTCCTCTCCAGATTCATCTCACACCATTATCTCAAGTGGCTCAGGAGTGGCTATGATCCTCTCAATCTGACAAGTGTGCCAAGCTCTTCTTCCCTCTGGTCATCCTCAGTTGCTATTCTGCCTGGAACAGCTCTTCCTCAGACCCACCATAACCTCCCAGGAAAACTCCTACCCATCCACCTGGTCTCAACTTAAACGGAACTTCTTTAAGAGCACCTTCATCTCCACCCCACATCCAATTTAAATTAAGTCCCCCTGCCATCATACTCTGTACTTCCCCATCTGGATGAACCTTTACCGCAGTTGGTAATTATGTATTTGTTATTCATCTAGCTTCTTCCGCTAGCCATGTCTACAATGGCCATATCTTCTTTATTTGTTCATTAGAGTACTTCCAGAGCTAAGCACAAGGCTGGCATTGTGGAGGTACTCAGTATTTGCCAAAATGAATGAGCATTTACTTAGCAGAAAAGCAAGGGTCTCTCCGAGGTAAGACTCAACTGGGTCCTCAAAATCTGAATCCAAATCTTGGTACAACCAGTTTGAAATGAGGTATTTCCGCAATTTGAAATGAGGTACAGCCAGCCCTCTAGAACTTGCACCTCTTTTCCACTCTCACGCTATAACAAATCTACAGCACAGTCTTTGTGCACCTCTGAGATATAAATCCATTGTTCCATAACCACTACAAAAATCAACCTCTCTGCTCCCATGTACTACTTAGCCAGACTCCAACAAAGAAATCTAAGCTAATCAAAATCATAGTTGAAAATTACTTGAATGTATGGCATCCCTATAAGTTCCTGGAAAACACAGAGAAAACACAAAATCAAGTATTTAAATGGTACTTTCTTATCACAATTACATGGTGTATCTGGTCACCCATTACTGTAGTCGTTGAGGCTAATTCAACTGTAAACTGGGAAGACTAAATTTTCTTCTTTTGAAACAACTCTTTCAGTTCCAAATAATGGAATTCAGGGTAAAACTGTTGTAGCTTGTTTGTCTGAAAGAAAAACAGGAGCACAATAGTCTAAAAGAATGGACAGAAACATTGATCATTCCAGTATTTGGGATTCTCTTCCCTTTGGAGCCAAAGTATGTTCAATTCTAGCAAAGAAAAGACCAAGACGTTACATGCCTGAGTGTTCTAGCCTTTTTCATTCCTTTGGGAAGACCACCTTTACAAATGAAGGAAACTAGGATCCAGAGATGAAGACAGTATCAAAGAGCAAATTAATGTTTTAAATACTTTAAAAACTAGTATTTTAAAAAAAGAACTTCAGTGTACAATACACTTTTCTTGAAATACAAATGAGAATACCCATTGTTAAAAACTATGAAAACGGGGAGGGGGACTGGGTGTGACTGCTAATGAAAACAGAATTCTGGGGGATGATGAAATGTTTTGAAGTTGGGATGATGGTTGCACGACTTTGTGACTACATCAAGCACAACCAAAACGTACACTTTAACTGTATTATATTATGAATTACATCTCAATAAAGTTGTTAAAAACGAGGAACAAAATAGAGAAAAGGACATTCAAATCACACTTTGGGGATCTGGGATGGGTTTTGGGGGAAGCACCTGGGTTAGGTCTAAAAATCAGGGGCAGACTTTTGACAAGCGGAAAGGAAATGTTAGTCCTCTGGGCAGCAAAGCTCAGTTTAGTAGACGGAGCAGTCAATCTACTTTGGCTATCAATCTCCGGAAGAAGCGTGACATAAATTAGGGTAAAAAACGGGCCTTAAGAACAAAAGCCCCTTTTCAGCCACACTGAGGACCTAGGAAATAATACGAAACTTCTCAGAAGATTTTATTCACGAGGAAGACAATGGGTTGAAAGGTATCTCTACGTATTTAATAAGTGGATTTTTAACTCTAACCAAAGACCTAGGTGAGTCACGGTTTTTCAGAACTGTGTCTATACTGGTCCCATAACTTACTATAGGTTCCAGAAGTCAAAGTGAGCCCCTGAGTCATTCATTAACAATTGCGGCCAACACCCTGGCTGGAACGTATCACTGTGAAAGTAGAACAGTGCTTACGGGTGCATGCGCACCAAATGACCTAACGTAGTTCTACATATTCAAACGAAGTGAAAAACCAAAGTGAATGCAAATATATCAAGGCGTTACCATTTTATTAAACCCTTTTCTGGTATATGTCCGTGCTAATCCAATCTCGAGACCCCAAGTCCATCAGGAGCCCCGAGCCTCCGGTGCTCCAGCTCCCAGTCTTCCGGAACCGCCTCGCCCCCACTCACGTGGGACTCAGGCCACTCTACCGTCTTACCAACAGACGCCAGGACCCGTTCAACTCAACTCTCATTAGGCGCCAGCTGTTTGCAAACCTCCGAACTCAGATGAAACGTTATTACGTCTCCGGCCTGGTCTCCGTTAAGGGAATCTCGATCCGCCCTACATCGCAGGCCTGCCTTCCCTCCAGCTCCTATGCATGCCTTCCGCTGGCTCGAGTACCCGCTAGACACCGGGAAAAGGCCTCGCCCTGGCGCGGACCCACACAGTGGGTAGCGGCCACTAGTGACCTGACACACAGGAGGTACCGCTACCCAGCCCTCAGCCCGGAAAGGAGTCGACCGCCCACCGCGCGTTCCCCAAGCCGCGAGGCTCGCGGACCCCAGCAAGCACTATCTCCCCACCCTCCTTTGCACGCGGCCCACCTGGCCTATACTCACGGCGTGCAGCGGTCGCTGTATTCATTGGCGATAGTTTCGATGCCGCCGGCGCGGGCCACAGCAACATAGCAGCTCTGGAAGCCCAGGTCTATGCCCACCACCGACATGGCGCCGGCTACAGCTCGGGCTCGAGCCCAGGTCCAGCCGGCGGGACAGGACACGGACCCCGGAGGCGCTGGAGCGCGGAGAACGGGCCGCGTGGGCCTGGGTGCCGAGGTTTGAGGAGCAAGTGTGGGTGTCCACGCTAGTGCCTAGGTCCCTGCAAGGGCGGGAGTCGCTGCGAGGGCGCCGCTCAGACCGGCTCCGGTTCGGCGGCCGCAGAGGGGGAACCGGTAACGGGGGCGGAGAGGATCTCGAAAGATCTCGTTGTGACGAGACTAAAGCTGCAGCGCGATTACTGTAAAGGAAAGGAAAGTTCTCGCGAGATCGCGGCTCAAAAGCCTTTCCTTCTGGAGTCCCGCCCCCAAGTACGTACAAGAGAACGTCACGTCCCGGGATGAGAATTTATGAAAAGAGGTCCGCTGAAAGCTGGTTGGGAGGCCGAGAGAGCCTGCGCCCAGAACCCAGAATAGCCGCTCCCTACGACTGCCAAGAGCAGTGCCGCACCTCCCCTTCAAGAAGAAAGAGAGCCACCTGGAGGCAAAACACTAGGGAAGCCCTATTGGTCTACTTCCGCTGTTTCTATTTCAAAGAAACTTCCGGTGGCGGGGCGCCTTCTGTTGGGCCCCCAAAATAGGGGCGCGAGTTATTCTACACAGTCCACGAGGCCACCTATCTGCTGCCCTGGGGGTGGGTTTGCCGTGTGGGAGAAGGTCGCCGTTGGGACGCGCCCCCAAGCAGGGCCTAAGGAAAGGGTCTGACAAAATCAGAGACAGCGCCCTCTCCAGCGGAGGGTTGGGTTCCACTCCCAGTCCCACCGTCTGGGTTATCTTGTTCAGCCTTGTTACACCATTCTCTAAGTCACTCGCGTCCTTGGATCAGACTGAGGGGCTTAGCCTTTCCGTCCTCAACACATTCCAGCCACCTATCCTGAGCTGCATGCAAGGGACACAAATAAATGACAGGCTACTTCAGTCCTTTCGGACCAGCCTGTAAGTAGAGGGATTACATGAAGCTGATGAATCTTAAATTTAAGGATCCCTCACTTGCAGGGGCACCTGGGAGAACAGGGAGTTGATGAAGCGTTACGTCGTGCTCAAGTGCAGAGGGGAAGCCAGCTTGCGAACAGGAAACAATGTAAACAAGCATTTTTGATAAATTATTTAAAGGTAAGAGGAATTTGAATCTCCAAGTCCCCAGTACTTTGTGATTTCTTGTTTTAAATATTTACTTTGTAATTTTTTAAGAGCCTTCCAATGTATAAACTTAACACCTCCCACCCACCACGTCCCCCAACCTGAATCCAACCGGTCTGGAGGGTAGCTAAACATGTAAAATGGATCCCAGTACAAGGTGGCAAGCGTTACGTGCACGGAATGGTAGAGACTAGGAGGACCACCCAGCAGAGCGAAAGTCAAAACTGTCAGTAAGAGAGGTACTCTGAGAACTACAGAAGTTTTGCATAGCTGGAGAGTAGACTGAGTTGAAGATTTCCATCACAGAGCTAAAACTATTTCATTGGACCATTTAATGGATGAGCAAAGAAAGTACATTTTTCAAATCTCTGCATTCTGAAAGAGGCACCTTAGTCCCTTGGCGCAATTCCAAAACCCAGATTGTTTGCCCTTAAACTTGCAAATGACCATACAGAACTGACATTTCTTTCCTAAACCAAACCTGTTTGTCTTCAAGGTTTTTTTGCCACAGGGTTGTTACAGGAGTACGAGCAGCATGAAAAAGCGGATGAAAAAAGAGCAAGGATGAACAGATCCTTGTGCACCATGTTCAAAGCAGCATTATTCACAATAGCCAAAAGGTGGAAACGATCCAAGTGTTCATTGGTGTATGAATGGATTTTTAATGTAGTATATGCATACAAAGGAATATTAAGCAGGCTTTAAAAGCGTTAAAGAACAAAATTCCAAGACGTGCTACAACATGGAGGAACTTTGAAAACATTATGCTAAGTGAAAGAAGCCAGACTTGAAAGGACCAATTTTGTATGATCCAGGTATATGAGGCACTTGGAATAGGTAAATTCATATACACAGAAAGTAAAACAGTGGTTACCAGGTGTAAGTCCGGGGAGAGGAAATCCCGGGACAAAATACCTCTAAAACCAAAATCAGTCAAAGGGAGAAATAAAATTTTAAATCCGTTTATTGCTTACAAACTGCAGTCCAGGATCTTTTCTCTTCCCTAACTGGAGCAGAAGTAAAACCAGCTCTCCCCCTCATCTCAGGTACAGATAAGCCCTCCATTGCCCAGATAAACACCCATTGATATGGAGATGAACTTCTCTCCATCCCTGAGGAATGAAGCAAATGCACTAAAACCCGTACTTCTTTCCACCTCTGAACGTCTGTTGATATGCAGATGTACTAAAGCATCTAGATGTACTAAAGGTGAGATATTCTGGAAATATTACAATTTTACCCACACCAGGGGCTTGCAGGTACAGGGGAATGGAGAGTTATTGTTTACTGAGTACAGCATTTCAGTTTGGAATGATGAAAAAGTTCTGGAAATGGACAGTGTTGATGGTTGCACCATAATGTGAATGTACCTAATGCATTTTAAAAATGGATAAAATGATATATTTAAATCCGTTTATTGCACAATAAAAAAGTAAAAAAACTTAGGTTCACTTTGACCTTCCCGTTTCTCCTACTTTTCTCCTACATAGGAGGATGTCAGTAACATACCAAGGACAGTATTGGCCTGAATGACAAAGAATCCTTTTGTCATTTATCTGTGTCTGGGTTATTAAGCACTAGGCAAATAGAGGCCAGGCTGCCCCAGGCTGAAGTGTCTAATCTACCTTAAGATCACTATATCTGGGTTATGAACTCTGTCTCTGCCTTCCTTCTAGTGGATCCATCCAGCCTTTATAAAGCTAAACTGGCAAATCACATTCCTGTGTTTTTATGTTCCAGCTTCATACCTACCTGTCTTATTTGCCTTGTGGTATTGCTTTCAGATTAAAGTATCTTCAGCCCTATCCATCTTTTTGAGAAGGATTTGTCCTTCTCAAAACATAAGTCACAGAAAGTACTCATCCTGCTATAAATAGTTTCCTGGATCATCAAAGTTATAGCTGGAGAGCCTATTATGTGATATTTAAATAAATGAAGTCAGAAAAAGTTATTTCAGAATTCTGAATAATCTAAACTGACAAGTTTCCAAGAATCATAATTGTGAAGCAATAAAGTTGCCAGAATATTTAACACTGACAGTGATGCTGGGGTTCTTGTTCACAAAGCCAAAGAATGAGCTTCACAAACACTCAAGGTAGGGGAGCAAGGTACAGGCTTTTATTTAGAGATAAAGTGAAAGGACAGAGCTCCCAGCTCATGCTAGGAGGGGACAAGAGAGTCCAGGGTGGTGCGTTGTCTAGGGGTTTTATAGGCAGTTGAGAGTTTTTCAAGAACATGTGAAAAAGCTTAGGGGTGTGGACTTATTAAGTGGTCCCAGAATATTTAGAATTAACACAAGTAACTTCCTGCTCTGATGATTTCTCCCTGGGACACCAGCATCTTGGTCTAGGGGCATATGAAACAAGGCCACTTGCTCAGCCCCCAAGCTGGTCTGAGGTATTGTTTGCTAAAGAGTAAGTTAAGAATTTCTAGCATTTTAACTTCTTGGGTATTAAAATGCAATCTTATCTTTAAGGTGGAATCCTTCTTGCCTTTTCTGTCTTGTTTATGCCTGGGCTTACTTGCTAAATTAGTTCTCCAGTTTGCAAAATAACCTCATCAGATCTGAAGGAGGAAAGACAGCACATAGGCCTGGGCCTTTTAGCATGTTAAAGTGAATCTTACACATGATTGTAAATGATTAGCATAATAAAAACATGTGCTACTCTTCTTTATCTGGGGAATATTAACTGATTTCACTGAAGAATGACTCTATAGCTGAATGTTTAACACAGAGTTTTGATAAGGGGTTTCCTTGCATGTAGTTACATTGCCCTGACTGCAAATATCCTGCCTTGCTTTTTCCGGAGGCCCTCACCCTACTCTGACTACACCCACGGCCCCTGTCTGAACAGCAGAAGTTCTTTTGATTCAGCACTACATCTTGAGTATTTTAGAAGAAAGAAGTTAAGTGCCTTTCTCTGGTACAATGATTAAATTTAGTTCTAAGCTATCAGGAAGGTTTTTTGTGTGTTTTGAATATGCAGTGTTCATAGGCTGTACCCCATGAGACTAAAAGTTCTGTCAGTTGAGAATTCAGTCTTCCTTGGTAAGCATCCAAGGTAATCCTGTCCTACACTCTGGAGCAGCTTCTACAATTCTTTGCTTTACAAGGAAGTCATAAGCTCAGATAATGGTGTTTTCTGGCCTGTCCGATATCACAGTGAGTGGACCAGTGCCCTTAGTCAAACCAACACTCCTTCCTGAGACTCTAAAACTCTAGTAATTCAATAATAATGGTAATTACCTCATGTCTAGCCCCTACCTTAATGCTAAACATTGTGCTGAGTGATTTCGATATCATAATCCATTTAGTCTTTATAGCAAACCCATCAATGATGTAGGTGTTATTTTCCAGTTTTAAAAGTGAGAGAACTGAAACCTGATGAGGTTAAGGAACTTGCTCAAGATCAGTTTTTAAAAGTCCTACCTCAACACTGCTCTACAACCATACCTCCACTTTCTTTAGGCCCATGTCTCTTGTAAAGGCTCACTAAGGTAAACATGACAAAAACACAAAAGAGAAAATTCATCTGGAGTTATTCACTGTTGACATTTTGGAATACTTTCCTTTCAGTATTTTTGTCATATGTGATGGTTGGATTTGGTTGTACCTTTTTTAACATTGGTTAAACCAGCCCTTCTCAAACTGTATTCCATAGGACAGAATTCTATGAGATATTAGTAGGTTAATATTACCACTTTAAAGGCTCTGAGAAGTCCTATAGAAAACCTACTTAACTTTAATCATAAATACAAGTAAAAATAAAAGCAATATTGGCTAAAGAGTAATGGAGCACAAGTTAGTCTCCTGTTTTTTTCTCTCAACCATTTTTTCTAATCATAATGCTTTTCTGGTATAAAAACTACCATTACACCTCTTACAGCACTGAATTATGCTTTCTGTCTTTATCTTGCATCTACCTACCACTTCAGCATTTTATTTAAAAATAAATAAATAAGGGAGAAATGTGGGATTCACATATAAATCAAGTATAAAAATCAAATGAATAATCACATCTGACTTGATTGTTTATAGTTCATGATGTGTGATCAAAAC